ACATGCTCCCAGCCCTCTTCCCTTCCCCAGCAAGCCCACTGGCTTCTTTCTGCCTTGCTCTTCTTCTCAGCATAACAGCCTCTGTAGCTGCTCCACATCTTCCCATTATCATTTTTCCTCCCAGTCAGCCAAGCTGCCCTGCCTCTTGCCACATGCCAATGACACAAAGGGCAATAGGGACACCAGTTTTTGAGGAGGAGTGGGGCAGCTCTGTGACTGTGGGAAACAAATAGGGCAGGGACACCAGCAGGGAGATGGAGCACAGCTTTCTATGGGAGGAGAGCCCAGGACACAGGGCATCTAGGCTGAAGGTGTCAAAAGAAGGACAACAAAACTGGTGAAGGGTCTGGAACTCAAGTCTTACGGGGAATGGCTGAGGGAACTAAGGTTGTTCAGTTTGGAGGAGGCTTCAGGGAGATCTTATTGCTCTCTAAAACTGCCTGAAAGGAGGTTGTGGCTATGTAGAGTTGGCTTTTTCTCCCACATAACAGTGATAGGACAAGAGGGAATGGCTTCGGGTAGTACCAGGGAGGATTCAGGTTGGATATTAGGAGAAGTTTCTACTGAAAAGGTGTGGTGAGGCATTGGAATGGGCTTCCCAGAGAGGTGGTGGAGTCACCATCCCTAGAGGTGCTCAAGAAACATGGAGATGTGGCAGTGAGGGATATGGTTAATGGGCATGGTGGGGATGGGCTGACAGTTGGACTAGGTGATTTTCATGGATATCTTTTCCAGCCTTACTGCTGCTATAATTCCATGTCCCATGCTCCTGTCATGTTCAAGGAAGCACAAGTACTGCCTGAGAGGCCAGCCCAGGATAGGAACCCCATGTGCTACATGAGTGCCAACTATGGATACTCACAAGGCAGAGGTGTGGGGCAGTGTGAGTTTGGGGACAGCCCACAAAGGCATGAGGGTCATGGGACTCAGCATGAAGATCTTCACTGCATAGCACCAAGGAGCACAGCTACAAAACACTTGTTGACACTCTTGCAGAGGTGTTAGAAAGTCTCAGCTGGCACTCCAGGAGGGAAAAGGAGTTCACGTCTCATCTTAACACCCTTTGGATCCTATCTGGAGTTTTGATTTTTCCTTCTCCCCAGTGACAAGCACAGGAGCTGCTGTGAAATGATGAGTCATAGCTGCAGGCTGCAAGGGGAAGGCAAGGTAAAAGGAGAGCAGGAAAAGAGCCAGACAGACAGAGCAAGAAAGGCTGCTGTCACCACTTAGCTCCAAGTCTGTGCTACACAGCCACCTCTGGCTTCCTTGCTGAGCCACACACATATACTACCTGCAGCTTTGCCTAGCTAAATCCATGGGGTGAGAAGGAACATGGGAACAGCCACCCTGTGATACGCGGTCCTAAGAACAGCATGACAGTCACAGAGCTTTTTGAACCAGAAGATGTGAATTAACCCCTGTAAAGGTGACAAGTTGGGAAGTGCGTTTGTTGAGCAGCTAATTTAGATTTAGGAGGAAAGCAGCACTTTCAGAAGGCCAAGAGGAGCACGTCTGGATCAAGATATGCTAAAACTGCCTCTCCTGTTGCCTTTCAACAAAATTGGCAGCAATTTCCCATCCTGGCTGATCTGCCTCACCGTATGTCCCATCCCTAGCGGCACCACAAATACACTGGGAAAAATCCTCCTGTGCCAAATGTTTTACACATACATGTAGAAGGACATGTGTCTTTCAGGGAGCTGATTTGATTGCATCTCATATACTTTTCATACAGAAATCTGAATATGGATCTGATGCTGCCAGAGACATGGGGCACCTCATCCAACAGCACCAAGTATGGCAGAAACACACCTGGGTAGATCTTCAACACTGATGTAGAGCAGGACAGGGATTTCACCGGTTGCTGCTCAGTTATGAGTGGGAAGCAGTTTCTCCAACTTACAGAGCATGTCCACAGTTTCACAACCATACTTGCTCCATGACAAAGGCAATACTGTTGTTCATGGCCTTCTGTCAAAGACTCACGACAAAGAGCCAGCTCCCAGAAGTGTGGAGACCTTGCTGGTGCTGCAGCACCTTACAGGTTCCCTGCTTCATCCAAGTGATAACTTGAAACCCCAGCCAGTCATACAGCAGACATTAATTTCAATTAAACTGATCTCCTCTATCCGTGCCTGGACTGTAACTTGTTTCTGGTTCAAACTGTGGCATTTATTCCCACCAGAGAACTTCACTTTCAATTAATCATCCTTTTCTTTTTCACCAAAACCAAAAGCAAAATGCTGTCACTTAAAAATGCTCAGCCATTTCTACATGAAAACATGCTCCGAGGACTGCTTATCTCAGAGTTTCTACCAGAACTGACAGTTGCTGAAATATAGGCACTAGGATTGCTAGTGTTGACAAGGCTTTAAAGCATCATCACACTGAGTAGCCATTAGAGGTTATATTTCAATGGAAGTAATGTAATTCAATTACCATCACTCTTCAGCATGTGCCATCTCTGGAGGCTGACAATAAGCCATATCATCCATCAGATTTTAACATGAACTTTGCATTCTGGCCCTATAGATTGCCACTTCTCCATTATGAATGGCTTCATATTTTTAGCCTCATTTATTAGGGAAAAGAGGTTATCTAATTACACTGTCCATCCGTCTGCCTGCCTGCCAACCCTCCTCAACTTTTCAACCAGTTTCAATCAAGAGGCAAAGGTCATCAAGAAAATTAAGTCCCTATCAGTTTTGCAACTAATCAGAGGCAGAGTAAAGTAAAGAAATCATTTGAACATCCCACCTGGGAGCTCCATGCAAACCAACAATCCAGCAAGTATGGACATCTAACACCACCTCTCTATGTGCAAGGCACATAAAAGCCCGGGGAAATTGTGTTACTGCAGGGAGAGAAGGTAAGAGAGGTCCATGCCTGGGAATGAGACACAAATCCTTAGGAAAGTGGGGCTTTTTGAGCACTGCTCTTCATGGAACAACTGTTTTATCAATGCAGTAGTCATTGACAAAGAATTTCTTATGCATATTAGCCAAAAAAAAAAAAAAATCGCTCACAAAATACAAATTACACAGAAAAAAACAATGTAACATTGGCTTTCCAAGTCTATGCATTTAATCTCTACCAATGCCAGCCACATCCACGATTCTTTTTCTGAATATTTGAAACATAGAATAACTTTACTGTTTCACTGACTATGTGCATCCTTTTAAATGATTCCTCCTACTGATGATTTTCAACCTTACTGATTCACAGTACTATTGCTCTTCTGCCTCTGTACTGCCATAGAAGTACTCCTGACTTGGCTACTTCTTTATGCCGTGGATCAGCTGTACAATTACTCTGATTTATGAAAACTTATTTACTTTTCACAGGCAATTTGTGTGCATCTGTCATTGCATCTATTCCTTTTCTCTCTTCCCCTCCATCCTTGCAACCTTTTCCTCCTCCTCCTCCTTCATACTGCCATTTATTCTAAATCTCTTTCTTTTTTCTATTCCCACTCGCTAGTTCCTGTCATCTCTGTATCTCCCCTTTTCCTCCTTCTCCACACGTTCTCCATCCCAGCCTTGCCCCTCATTTGCCACCTCTTCTTTTGCCTCCCACATACACTTTCACACTGTACACCTTCTGGCTTCTTCTTCTAACTTGCTCTTTGCTCAGAAGATGGACCGTAGATGCCCCGTCCCTGGAGACACTCTAGCTAAGGCTGAACAGGCTCTGGACAACCTGATTGAGCTGAAGTTGCACCTGTTCATTGCAGGGGAGTTGGAATACATGACCTTTAAAATTCCTCAAATGATTCTATGATTCTGTGGTTGATTCTAAAGTTGACTGTGACTCTAAGATAGTCACCTTCCATCCCTCACACACAGTAATACAAGAAAGAAACCAAGAGTCAAACTGGACACCTTGTTACAACACTTCTAGTCTTGTTTCCTCTCACTACTCTATAGATCTATTGGGAAGCTGAACTCTCAGTCCTGCTCTCACCTGCAGCATCGTCATCTTCTCACATCCCTCCCACTCTCACAATTGTCCCACTTTTCCCAGTCACCATTTCCAGTTATTTCCCAATTATTTCCCTGTAATACAAGGGACTTCAGTCACACCCAAGACTATATTGTCAATTCAGCTCTTTATGAATGTCTTTCCCTGCAATGTTCATGCTCTGCCTCTGGTTTACCACTGGCATCTTTCCCTCTGTGCCTCTGAAGAGCCCCAGTGCACAGAGCCTCCCTTCACTTCAAACATTTGTTTTCCCTCCAAACCTCTTCCTCCAGTACAGCAGTTTCTCTAATTCTTGCCACTGTTGGAAGCTGGCATTTGTCTGCTAGAAGTGGTTGCCTTCTATTGTCTGAAAAGTTACCTACGTCAGACACCCACTGCCCACAGTGTACCCCACTGGGAGCCCCAGTGCACAGCAGATGTCCAAAGGAAGGGACATACAGCACACAAACACAGCTGGGTAGCCATTCTACTCCCACAGCAGAAGCACCAAGCCTTACTCCTGCCCCAAGCCCATCACCAGCTCCTGCTGAGAGCCCACAGAAAACACCAGCTGAACTTTCAGGACATGACCACCCAGTCTTTTGCCTTCTTTTACAATTTATAACTTTTATCTACTCCTCATTTTCTCATCCACATATGCCACCCTTTACCTCCCCCTCGACTCGCTTTTGTCAATTCCTAGCAAATTCTCTGCCCACACACAAAACACAGTGACTTTGTCTCACTTCAGTCTCTACAGAAAGGACACTTTTGCAAACCCTGCAGTACATACATCCTTCAGCCCTCAGTGGCCAGCAGTCTCCACTCTTCACACCCATATTGCCATCAGCCCACATCATCACTCTTTCTGGTTTTTGTCACCATTTTCTCTCCCTTCCATGATATTTGTTTCTTATTAGACATTAAGACTTCTCAAGCAGAAGCAGTACTCGCACAGCAATGAGGCCTTGCAGGAGCAACCAGGTATTCTTACCACAGAACAGAAGGATTAGAACCTCCCAGGACAAGTAGGGACTTACCGAGCCGTAGAGTTCCCCTTTCTCATTCATTCCAAGGTAGAGTCCGCTGTCTACTCCTCGGATGCTGACCAGGCCCACTGCTATACTGATGAACTCCAGTATACCTAGAACATACAGGAAAAAGCACACAATGTACACGTTGTACACTCTGGAAGGTTTTTTCCCAGATGTGACTGATCCCTCAGTGACAATCAGCTGGTGCCAAGGGTTGCTTTCCCTTTTCAGTGTTGATTGGACAAAGATGAGGAACAAATGAATGCACCTTAAATACGATGCTCGAATGGTGAAGTCCTTTAATTTCTGCTCAAAGGATGCATTGCAGACAATATTAATGTGTCAAATTAAACGATTATTCTTACGCTTTCCTGTCATTTCTGAACACAAAAATGAAGCTCATCCCTAATGTAAACTTGTCAGCATTGTGATTTGTGCAACGCATAAAGCATTCAATGAAAAAAACTGAGTTTTGGGACAGACAGAATTACCTTTATTAAAGCACCTATGAAATCTGTCTTGCCGAGTAAACTTTAAAGAAAAAAAGAAAAAGAAAAAAAACAAAACAACATTTGAGTCAGCATTGTGAGATGAAAATAACTTTACACATGGAGCCAGAACTCTACTTCCAGGCATCAATGAATCAGGAATACGTGGAAAGGTTTACTCACAGTGTCATCTTCAGAGGCTTGAGAAATGAGATCTGTAGCACAGTCCAGAGGCTCACACTATTCCTCTAGATACTAGGTATTCTCACTGGTATGGTATTTTTTTACTCATCTCAGACTTGAAAATCGAAATACTCTAAACCCAAGGGATAGTGTATGAACAGTTACATCCTCTTGTACAGGCAGCAGGGAGCTCACACAGATGTTTGCGCCCCGCAGACAGGGCATTCTGCAGACAAGCTCTCCCTCCTGCAGATCTCCCAGGTTCATCATCCGTGTGCCCAGTACTGAGAGAATCAACTCAGGCACCGCCTCCTCTGCGTCTGAGCTCTGGTTTTCTGGCAGCCTTTCCATCTCAGTGAGGATGCTACCAGCCAGACCTCACCCACAGCCAGAACTGTGTGGAATCAAAGGGGATCATTCCCTATTCCAGACTGTTCATGAAGACCACAGAGTGACCCAGCCCCATTCAGAATCACCACGCAGTCGCACCAAGCTGCGTTCCAAGCCACAAAGTAAAAGCCCAGCACAGCATTTCCAATGGAGTTTGTGAATTCTCATGTCTAAGCCCATCACATAACTATTTTAAAAGCTCGTTGGGAATTATATTTGCATGAAACAATAAAATAACAGCATAGTATGTGTTGAGCCTCACGTGGCCAATAAAAAAGCACTTTCATGGATTTTTGGAACAATTAATTTGGCATCTCCCACAAAATAGTTGTGCTCTAATCAATAGCAGGCATGAATCACATAAATTTAACAAAGCACAAGCTGAAGCCAACAGGGAGAATTTACAGCCAATCTAATGTAAAGATGAAATGTATTCCCTGCAAGGGACTATTGATCATTGCCTTATATATTATTCAGCACTACAAATGCCACAGTCTATTGTTTTGATAACCCTGCTTTAAGGGTTCATCTTAAATTATCCTCTACATATGCACAAATCTTAAAACACTGGGAGGAAATATTTAGTAATTACAGAATTTTTTGAAGCCATAAAAAGTGGCCCCGTGCTGTTTATCTGGTGTGCACAGTATCACCGATACAATCGATCCATTGAAACAATCCAAACATCCCCGCTCTCTCTGGCAGTGCAATACTGCCAGACTTCTTACTAAAGCTTTTTCCGTAAAGCTTTTACCAAATGATCACGTTACTCGATACGTATTACCAAGAACTTGAACTGAAGTTAGATGCTATGTGAAGCATTATCCCATGCTGTAAGTCAGTGAGTCTGGCACCTTTCACATTAATACGAATATAGACTTTAATTGCTGTCCTCATTGCAAATATTTGGGCACATGCTGCTTAGTATGTCAAAGGAACAAAAAGCACTGTCACATCCCATTGCAAATACCAAGAGAATTTAAGGTACTTGGCAAAGAGCATCCACATATCTGGGATCAGAATAGAGATTTCCTCATTTAAAACAGTCAGAAGACTCTTAGCAGCGTTATTCTATCTGGAGCCAATTGTGAAGTCGTAAGCAAGTTGAAGTGTTGCATGGTTTGGCCCAAACTTCCACGTCTTTTTTCACTTTATCATTTCTGTAACATACACACAGTGCACAGCACCTGAACCAGATATTAAAATAGACATCTCTCAAAATGGGGCTGGGCCAAAGGAAAATCAGGACAGCTCCAAACTTTATAAGCTACGGCCCTATTAATAGCTGACAGTGGGGAAGAGAAGAAAAGGAGAGAGGAAACGCATCTCATTACATGGAGTCCTGAGCGTCCTCTTGTCAGACAACAGACATTTACTATAGCGAAACCACTCCAAAGGAAGGACCAACAAAGAGCTTGGGAGAATGCTTGGAGAGATGATTCCTTGCAACCCTCCATGCACCTCCTTCACTACAGCCCAGCTCAGGCATGGAACAGCACACCAAGAACTTGGGGCCAGTCCCACCGCCATCCCATCGCAGGTCCTCCACAGAAGGTGACACTGTGACTGCCACAGGACACGCTTCCTCCAGCTCTAAGCAACGAGCATCTTAGCAACTTCCTTGGTTCATTCTGCCCTTTGGACATTTTGGTCGTTTTCTATATATAGATTCTTTTCCTGTTGTCGGATCAAAGCAGCGCAGCTTCAACTGCGCATTCTAAACACAGCTACGGGAGGAGGCCGGAGGGGATCTGCGGGCAGTACGTGGGGTGCTGCAGTGCGGTTGGCATCTGCGGAGGGGGGAACCGAGAGGATGAAGGGAGCAGACCTGGGGCTTTCCCCCCACCCCCAGCTCTCAGCAGCCCCGGTTCCCAGTGACGGAGCTCGAGCTCTCAGCTCGGACGCACCCGCGTGTCCCAGCTGTCACCGCTCCTCCCACTCCCCCTCCCTGTTCCAATTAAGGGACCGAAGCGCAGACAGCCCCGGCCTCCCCCCCCCCATCCCCCCCCCGCCCCCCCACGAGTCAGCGGGGCCCTGCTTCACTTCTAGGCTGTCTCAGCGTGCATCGTCCCCGCACCCTCTTATGGGGGCACTTGGGGAGATCCGCGCAGACCCTCCCCAGGGGATGGACCAGAGGGTGGGTGAGGGCCGCTCCTCTTCCCTATAAATCCACCCCCTTCGAACTCACCCCCATAAACCCAACCCCCCACAAACCCGCCTCTATTTCCACAGCCCCAGAGGGCTCAGACCCCTGTGCTCATCCATGCCCCGCACCCAACGCTCAGAGAAAGCTGCAGCCCCGATCCGCGCCCCCCGCCCCCATCAGCACCCTAGGGCGGAGATGCACCCCCCAGCTACAGCCGCGCCCACAGCCGCTGGGCGCCTCGGTTCCCTGCGGCAGCAGCGCAGCAGCACGGCACAGCAGGTACCAGGGAGAAGATTTCACCTGCTGACAGCTTTTTTTCCCCCCTTTTCCTGCACGCTCCTATTTTTTTTTAATGCTGTGCATGCAGTCCTTGTGCTGACGCACAGGGACACGCCTCTCCGCTCTTACAGAGTTCCTGAATTTACAATGACTCCACTGTGTGGCAAATGCTCTAGACGAAAGGAGACTGCATTAAAAAAAAAAAAAAAAAAAAAAAAAACCTTTTGTCACCCAGATGAGATAATACGGCTTTGATCACCCACAACTGCATTCCGAGGGGAACCGGGCCGTACCCTCCCGGGGAGCTTTTCCCTCCGACATGGACATCTCCGAGTGCTGCTGCCTCTGCTGCTACGGGCATTGCGAAACGCCGGGCTGCTGGAGCCGGGCGAGTAGAGACACACAACATGGCTCGGCTTATTGTACGCCACAGGCACGCATCCAACATCGCATCACAAAAGAATTGCTCTTATCTGATGTCTCTCCAGAGGGGTGTGTGTGCGCGCGCGAGCGGGGAGGGGGATTCCCACCGTACAGAGCCCCGAGAAGAGTTTGCGCGCAGCCCCCGGGGTTCTCTTTGTCCTTATTCTTGAAGGAAAACTTCCTCCCCCCAAGAGAACCCCCTGTTCACGCAGGTTTCCTTCACATGCTCCGAGGTTCCGAGTTCACCGCTCTCCCTGGGCAACACCCGGACATCACCACCCCTAAACCTGAATAGCGACCGCCGCTAGGGTCACCTCTGGGCGGACACAGAGGCAGCGCCGCGGCGCCGGTACGGCACCGGTACGGCACCGCCGCTCCTGTCCCCACACGCAGAGCAGCACGGAGCCCCAGCGCATCCCGCGGCTCCGGCTGCGCGCTGGGGGGCACCGAGAGGGGAGAACCGAGAGTCGTTGCCGAGGCGTAGCCTGAGGAACCACATCGATGAGGACAAATAATGCTAAAAAAAAAAAAATCTACGTAATGCCTGGGGTGCAGTAGAGCTGCCCCGGAACCCCTCAGCAGTGGCCGCCAAGCCATTTTTAAAGGCAGGGTCCCGCAGAACGCGCCCCCACCCCGCAGGCAGCAGCCGGCGGCTATACCCCCCCCCCTCTTCCCACACCAAGGTGCCCCGCGGTGCCGCCGCACTGCCCTCCACCTGCCGGGCCCGGCCCCGCGCTGCGATGCGCGGTGTGAGCGCAGGGAAACCCGCGCGGGTGTGCGTGTGCTGTGCGGCTGAGTCTCCGTGTGTCAGGAAAAAAAAGCACCGTGGGTGAGAAATTCCTCCATTCCCCGCGCCGTGCCGCCGCCTCTCCGCGCCGCGCGGGCACTTTGCGCACTTTCTCCCCGCTCCGCTTCCCCCAGTGCGCGGGGCGGCGGAGATGGGCGCAGAGTCCCTCCGCACCCTGCGGGGATTCCCTCCCGCAACACCGCGATCGCCTACACGGCTCACAAAGCCGTAAAAGGCAGTTTAGATACCGCTCAACATCTGGCATTAAAACACGAGAGGAAGAAAAAAAAAAGAAAAAAAACAGAAAAAAAAAAAAAAAAAAAAAAAAAAAGCCTTCACCACGGGACTTTGTTTTTACGACCGAGTGCGCGCTGTCAGGTTGGGTCGCTCCCGAGTTAACTCCTTCCCGCAGCGCGGAGCGCCGCGCCTTACAGCCTGGCGCATTCCCCTCACCCCTCCGTAACACACAGCCCCGGCTCCCCCGGGCGTTCCGAGGCGCTTCGGTGCGTTCTGTCCCCGGCCCCAAGGCAGCTCACTTCCTCCCCCCCCCCCCGCCAACTCCGGGCTCCGGGGTGCGGGCAGAGTACGGAGCCCTCCGCCGAAGCCACAGAGAGACCGAGAGCCGCGGAGCGCTGCGGGATCGCCGCGGGAGAGCCCCGCACGCTTCGCCAGGAGAGCCCCGCACCGAGAGGGGGGGGGCCGCCGCCCGGGCAGGTAACCGGGAGGGAACCGAAAGAGGAAAAGCCTCGTGCATTTGCGTACGGGACGGCAGCCACTCCCTTCGGGAAAGTCGGTGTGTTTTAAATCGGAGCGGTTAATGATTAAAGCCCCTTTAAACTCGCGAAATCGCGGCGCTCCGGTGAGACGTCCCGAGCGAAATTTCCTCCCCGCGTGGATCGGAGCGGAGCTCGGCCCCCGGCTCGGTCCGGCCCCGCATCCGCCGCACCCCGCAGTGCTCCGTTCGCCCCCGGGCAGCGCCGCGGCCCCTCTGCCCGCCGCCCACCCTCCCCCCCTCCCGTCCTCGGTCCCAGCGCGTTATTCCATCACATGACCCCTCAAGGGTTAAGGAGAGTACCTACCGAATCGGCTGTGGTCTTGCCTGGTGCCCTGGATAGTACCATTGGGGAAGATTTCTAAATGAAATCCAGTCCTGCAGTAGAGCTGCCTCCGCCTGAGGATCCCCTTTAAATGGTCCAAGTCCGTGACCGCGGGGCCCCTGGGCAGCCCACCTGCCTCAGCCTGGCCCAGGTGGTCACTGAGCAAAACCGGGCTGTCCGCCGGCAGCGCGGGCACGTTCCCAAAGGGCACCGCGTCCTGCACACCGAAATAGTTCCCAACTTCACCTAAGGGAGCCATCAGAAGATTCTGCTTTTAGAGAATAAGAATAAACAGTAATGATGGTGCCAAACCCAGGAGATATAAGATAGGTATATTCCACTCCTCTCCCCTCCCTAGCGCGGTTACAGAGAGAATGTTCTTTCTTCAATCCATTAAACGCATAAATAAAAGTAATATTCTGCTTTGACTGGTACAGGTTCAAGGTCAAACCAGTTAGTCTAAGAAACCACCACTTTATACTCACACACTGACATATTTATAAACATATAGATGTGTATATCTATAGAAACGCATATATCCCCAGCTCTTAGCAAGCAATAAGGTCTTCAGCCCATCCAACCATAATAAAGAAAAAAATCCGTAGTTTCTCCATTTGGTTTAAGAATAGAATGACCATAGCAACTTAAATACCTAGGCGGTAGAGGGGTTTTTTTAAGATGCACAGGCTACGTCAGGATTTATGGATTCTGACTCCAGAAAGGCATGCGCTGTTTTTACTCTATAACAGACTGCATACATCAGCATGAATCCCGCAAAGGGGGAGGGGGGGATCTCACGGTGTTGGCTGAGATAAATCCAAAAAAAAAAAAAGAAAAAGAAAAATGCAAAAAAAAAAAAAAAAAAAAAAAAAAAAACTTTTGACGTCCAATTCTATTATCCAGAATTCTCAGGAGGCTCAGCAGATGTCCACTGGTTTGGGGGTATTGCCGATCCACAAGCAAAGCAGCACCATACAAGTGCTGGTGTCTCTCTTGGCTGGCTCGGAACAGGTGTTGCTCCTGCAGGGCTCCCTGGGCAATGTTGTACTCCAGCACTGAGCTGCGGCTCTTGACTGTGGATCTCCATCCAGCACGCAGAGTGGCGCAGGAAGAGGCATTGGGCTGGGTTTAAGGTAGTCCTGAGTGCTGCTGGAAGGATTCTGCGAGGTCCTAGCGCTCAGCCCTACCTGCTGCAATACAGAACCGCTTCCAGCGCCGGGCACAGCGCTTACTGCTCTGCGGCAGCGCGGGCGGGGGGGCACCGACCACAAAGAAACCACCGCGAGAATTATTTTTCTTTTCCCGTGGGCTGTGCTTCGGGACCCAGTCAGCATCCCCCACGACCCCTCCCCATATTTACACCCAAGTGGGGCGCAAACTCAAATTGGCACTGCCAATGGGAAGTTTGGGAGAAATTTTATATCTTTTTTTTTTTTTTTTTTTCGGGGGGGGGGGGGAGGAAGGGGGGGCGTGGTTCAGTGCCACTCCACATGGTTTCCCCTCCCCCCGCGATCCAAAAGCCCTCCCCGCAGTGCCCCGCGCTGATTTTCGGGGATGCTCCGTGTCGCCGCATGGTGCCCCGAAGCTTCAGGCCCCCGCCGCCCGCAGCGCTCGGGGCACCCCGCGGCGCCAACAGTGTTCTCCTCCCGCATGCAGAAGTTATTTAAAACCGCCAGGAGAGAGCCACTGGAAGCGGGGTGAGGGGAGGAGGGAGAGGGGGAGAGGATTTATGTTTCTTCTGTGATGTCGATGATGGATGTTATTGTTGTTTCGCAGCGCTCCAATATAGCTGCATTAATTAGCAAAGGGACAGAAGGGTCTCTCTCCTTCAGGAAGAGCCCGAGGACCGGGCTCAGCGCAGAGGCTATTTGGTATTAAATGCAAAACCTGAAGATAGGCTCTTTTATCTATCTATCTATCTATCTATCTATCTATCTATCTATCTATCTATTTTATTTTATTTTTGCAAGGGAGAGAGAGGGAGGAAAGAAAAAAAAAAAAAAAGAAAAGAAATGCAGTATCATGGGAGTGATTGCACGACGCCAATGACGATGCGCACCCCAGAGGTGTCAGGGTCCAGGAAGGTCCCTTGGTGGAAAATGGAAACAGAGCCCTGGGAAAGGAGAATTTCACAAAGGGGGTATTTAAAAAATGCTCAACTCTGTGCATGTCTCCCTGCTGGGTTGGAACAGTTCTCCCAGGCTTCCCCACCACCGAGCCAGCAGCCTCACTGCATCATCCCTTGTCACCCCAACTTAACACTTGGGAGGAAGGAAGGGGACTCCCAGTTTCCACGTCTGTGGGGAGGGCTGAGTCCTAAACCCCCAAGGATGTGCAGGGAGTGGAGGTGCTCCAACCCTTTCAGTCACTTCCATTGGTCCATATTTCCATCTGAAAGATGGGATTCAGGAGCTTCAGGGCAGGGTCCCTTCCTGCCCATCCTGCACAAGCCTACCAGGAGCAGCAGCTCTGTGTCAGCTCATGTAAGAGCCAAGCAGCACCCCCACCCCTAAGCAGGGACGTCTCCAGTCATGTTCCGTGGCATTTGCCATATATATCAGGTTTAAGGACACTCCTCACACACACAATGGGTGTATCAGTGTGAACAACTGCAGAATGACTTGGGAAAAACTGCAGAACTCGCCATGTCAAAAATCATTACTCTTTATCAACTTGATCACGGCAGCACCCGGAGGCCCCGCTCGGGGATCACAGTCCCATTGTGCTGGATACTGTAGACACATGTAATCAGAGAGATGGTCTATGCCCAAAGAGCTTATGATCTTAACCCATGATGAAAGACAACAGGTGTATACCACAGACACATGGGGGAAGGATAAGGGAAAAGCAGCGTTGAGAATAAAAAGCAACAGGCTTGGCCAATGGCAAGAGTTGTGCAGCAGAAGGAAGTTTTAAGGAGATTTGAAGGAGAACAATAAAGCAGCTTTATGGTTATTAATGGGAAGCTTTTTCTATGCACAATGTGTAACTTGGAAGGGAACATAAAATTGCTTGTTAGGAAATTGGGCTGCTGAGGAGTGAAGGCTTGTGCCACTAGCAGAGAAAAAGGGAGTATCTCAGAGCGGCCAAAGGGCCTGGGATCTGCAGTGCTGCTCCTTCTGGGAACAGCTGAACTCCTTCCAGTGCCTTGAAATTTACAGTCATAGCCCCAGAGAAAAGGAAAAGAGGGAATTTTATTTTATTTTTTTCTCTAGGCCAGGTTTCATTATTTTCTATCTTGTACTTTAGGCCAGCATACCTCGTGAAAAATATCTGAAGGTAAGAAGGAGGTATTGGCATCGTTATTTTTTTTTTTTTTAGGGAACTTAAAAGAAAGCCCACATATTATTGGCTCTAGGAAGTTTAGTGTTATAAAAGTGTTATCTAAGTTGAGGCTTTGATGTCTGAATTACTCATAAGTATCAAAGCCACACATGAATTATGCAGGACATCCCCAAAATTATACCCATCTGTGAGTAGGTGGTGTTCCAACCCTGCTTCACATAAAATCTATGTGTGATGTGTAATGTCAAACTTTCCCTTTACAGAAGTATGGCTTCACTGATAGCTCAGGCTGTATTAAAAACCTACACTTTTATCCCCAAGACACAGAGGCATCCCCAGCTCCCCTCAACTAGAGATTCACACCCACTTCCCTTATACCCTTCTGGAATTAAAGATTGCATCCGCCACAGTGACTCATCTTGAGCTTCCTCATCAGCTTTTGCAGGATTTTACCTCCAGCTAGCAGAGCTGGTCAGAAGGATCCTGCATTTCTTAAGTAGTTCCTGGCACACATTCTCCTCACCCACACTGTGCTGATGTGACACCTCTGGCAAGCTTCAGGCACCATGACTTCTTTTTTCTTAACTATTTCACCTGTACTCTGCAAAACCATTGAGATTAATAAGAAATTGTCACATAACAAATGGTGAATGTCATTTAAAAAAAAATAATAAATCAGACTGCCATAAGAATTTGTTTTGTTTTGTTTTCTATACAGTGCACAATTTCACCAGAAGTATGGCATCCTATTCTGAATCTACAATACAACCAACCTGCTTATTTCCCAGTCCTGCAGAGGAAGAATTGGAAGATTTGTACAAGTAAATGAGAGGTTCTACAACTTTCCAGTGAGACAGATGGCATTTGCCAATGTTACTAAAATGCCTTGAGTCAGCAAACTGTAAAAAGCTGCCTTTGCATAAATAGAAAACAGTACAGAAATTAATGTTAATTTCAGATCTGTTTACAAACTGGAATTCTTAAGGTATGTTGGAAGCGTGGTATAAACATGAATGTGATAAGAGCATAATTCATCTTACATCACTTCAATCTGCAAAAATGGAGACATCTAGATAACTTGTTCTTTAATGCAGAGAAATGGGAGCAATTTTAGGGCACAAATCATCTGGCCTATTTGAGGCGTCCACTTTAGGATGACATGACTCATGCGCTAAAGATGCTTAATTCTTTCCTGTGTATGAAGGAAGCCTATATTAGATATAGACTTCTCCATGACAGAGGTCTAGATAGGGCTGGATGGGTCCCACCTGCTGTGCCATACACGTGATTCAGCATTTCCCCAGAACGGGTGGTGAGGGCATTAAACTATTAATACAGCTGCACAAATTAATCCTCCACATAAAACTCGGTGTAGTCTCAGCAAGGAAAATCCACTGAAACGCATGATTGTGAAACGTGAGGTTACCTGGCAGTAAGTATTTGTGAAAACCTATTACCCGTGAGACTTAAGTTGATTGGATTAACTTAAGAAGTGCCTATGGGTTTAGGAAAAGTGATGTAGAGGAAATCTTTCCTTTCTCACTTCAGAATTGGTAGGAAAAAAAAAATAACAGGAAAAAACATGACCCCCCCCTCCAAAAAAAAAAAAATCCTGTAGGAATCTATGGGCCTATTTTGTGAGAGGGGCACCCCATTCCCACATTTTCAGATGACGGGATTGTAAAACATAACACAGCTGAGATGCAATATTCCAATAAAATGTGGGCACCAGAGTCAGCACACACACACGGCTGCAGCGCGGTGTCTGAGGCAGATTTCTTATGCCGTTACAGCGCTCTGCTGTGTACAGAAATAGGTGAGCAGTCGTTAAAGCACAGCAGGCTGCGACCTCTGAGACTGTCCCTGAGAGGAAGCTATCAGGTTACATCTGTTAAGACAGCCGAAGTACGAAAGTAATAATGTCATTATTGGTCAAATACGGCGCAGCACTCTGGCACAGGTATGGATAAAGCCTCCTGGAACGCTGCATGCCTTGGTGACACGTGAAGGCACGCGAGGTGCTGTTAGTGTGCACGCCGACAGACGCGTTTCTCCGAGGCACGCCCCGTGCACAGCGGGTTCCCCACGTTGCTGGGCGCCCCTCCAGCCGCGATGCCGGGCAGACGTGAGGCGCGGCCGTGCGCAGGCCGGCAGGGATGCGGAGGGCTCAGCCCTCGGCCGCTGGCGCTTCTCCTTCGGGCGTTTCACCTTTTGGAAGACGGAGCGGCCTCCCTCCGCCGCGCGCACGCCGATCCCCTCGGAGCCCCTCGGCGGCCCCGGACCGGGCGCAGGTCCCGCTCCCCGCCCCGGGGCCGGCCGGTGGGCGCCGCCCCGGAGCGGCCGCGGCCCTCCGCTTCGGAGCTTCCCCCGCCGCCCCGCGCCGGCTCCGGGCCGAGCCGCGCCCGCCTGCGGGCCTCCACGGCACCCGGAGCGGCCATAACGAGGCCGGCCGCGACGCGTCCCGCTGCCCGGCCCGGGGCCCGCCCTCGCCCTCCCCCGGTGCGCATCCATCCCCGCGTGGCCGCGGCCCCTCCTCGCCGCGTTCCCTCCGCCGCTCGCCCCGAGAGGCCGCCGCGGCGCGCTCCCTCGTTTCCCCGGGCCGGGCGGGAGACGGCTGGCGGGCGGAGGGCGGCCGGGCAGGGCCGGGGGCACGGCCCCGTCGCGCTTGTGCGGGGCTCTCTTGCCCTCTAGCGGGCAAAGGCAGCGGGGCGGCCCCGCCGTACTCCCGGCGGCCTGCCGCTCCTCCTCGGCCCGCCCGCCTCCGTCCCCGCCCCGCGCCGGAGACCCAGGGCCAGGGGACGCCGCCGGTGACCCCTCCGTCGCGGGCTGTGCCGGTGGGTGGGTAGGGGTCCCGGAAGATTCCCCCGCCGAGACACGGCGCTCAGCAGGCGGTCCCAGCGCCCAGCGCCGTGCTGTGCCTCAGGAGCCTCCTGTCCCTTTCAGGCTCACGTCGGTGAAAACTTTGGCTTTTCCCACGTTATTTCAGATGTGCTTTCTCCACCTAACAAAAGGTTTTGTACCATCCTCAGCAATTCTCGTGTTACAAGTATGGTTTAGAAAATGTACATCTTTTTAAGGCTGTCTGTGGCTGATATTCTTCCTCCAATCTATCACTTAAACGTTCCTATTTTGTCAACCAGTTTCATACTTCTGTTCTCTCACCATTTTGAAATTATTACTATTATATATTGCATTTTTGGTCTGACTGTTGCAATCATTTAACTGTAGGTTCACTAGTAGAAATTGTCCTTTTTCTTTTTTTCTTTCTCTTTCTTCTCTTTATTTTTCTTCTTTTTCTATTTCTTTTTCGTCTTTTGCTTTTTCTTTTCTTGTTCCTTTTCCTGAAGTACACAATTTGTCTCCTCTCAGTTTTACCTGTAATTTCCCATTCTTTGGGAAGCCCTAATATCCGTACGGTGCTTGTGTTCTCTGGTTGCGGCTCCATGAAGCTGAGCCATGACAAGAAATCCCTCCTTTTGCTGGTAGCAAATGTAGTCAGATCACTTGGAATGTAATCCCTTGGAAACCTCCACTCTCTGCTACAGTATTATAATCCTCTGTAATGTTTTGCATGCCTGTGTCTCTTTCATTTGCTTAAACGCTGTCCAATTCCTTTGTTGATAACTAACATATTTTACGTGTTTTTGCCTGTTGATTTCTTTAATCATCCTGCCACTATTTCACAATAACACACCAGCATAGCATGTAACTGCGCTCTGATTCAGTGATGTAAAGAGAGAGAAAATAATATAACCATTTTATTCAAATAATTACTCTGGATATGTACTAATGTTTTCCTTTTAGCTGGCCAAGACAAAAGCATCTCTAACTAGAATCCAGACTGAGCGTTACCTCAGTTTGTTTGCCCTGAATTTCTCGCTTTTGCCAAGACTGGAGACTCCTCCCTCTAGGACATGGAGTGAAAGGGATGCTCAAGCGAAGACCACATCTGTGGGGAGCAGAAGAACTGAATGATTCCTAAGCCATTCCCCATGGAGGACAGCAATGTTCTGCTTTATTTCTGTTTTATTTCTGTTTGCCCAGTCTGAAGAAATTTATAATGGAGCTGGACAAAAGTATGAGAACAAATGCTTTACATTTTGGAGAGAGTGGAAGGTTGTGGAAAATGCATTTCATCTTTTGGGTTCAAGAAACTGTGTTTGATTCTCTAATTAAAGTACGAACATAAGTGTGAGGTTCTAAGAGGTTTGGGTACAGCTATGCCACTGCCTTCTCTAGGACAATGGCAGTGGAAACACCATTTGGGAAGTATATGTGTTCCACTTAGCACAATGTGTTCCTCTGGCTGTTCCCTAAGAACCACAACTGCTGGATTAGGGATGTCAGAAGGTACATTGCTGTATATTTCCACTACTATCTGTCTACAGTCTGACTGTTCCTGAATTTGGATAACCCCACATTTATCCTGACTCCATATTTCGTCTTCTATGACAACAAATTCTGAAAATTCACTATTCTCTGGAAAAAAAAAAAACAAACAAACTGACTTCTGACTTTCTTCTGTCAGTTTCAAACCAACCTCTTATTAGTTTCGTTGACCGACTCCTAATCCTTGTGTTATAGCAACAGAATAACAGTTATGCATCTGTCCTCCCTATTCCCTTCCTGTTTTTGTGAACCTTACTCTTTGTCCTTAACCCTCTTTCCAAACTGACGAGTCCCAGCCTGTGGAGCTTCTTATCAGGCACTCAAGAGATGTGAGGGTCTTAGCTTCCCTTGAGAAGACAATAAACACTATAAAGATTACTGAAAACTCAAGTAATAGCAAGCTTAGGTAAAATAAAATAAGCTTAGTGAGCAGGCTTGTATGAGATGTTATGTGCAGCCCACAAGGCAGGCTATCCCAGTCATTTCAACCAAAAGAATCCCAGGGACAGGTTTTGTTTGTTCACTGTTAGGAACTGGTCATGTGTATAGTGTGTCAAATATTTAGTAGAACCGATCAACTCCTTAAAAAATACTTTTAGAGTGACCATCATCGTAGATGCAGAGAGTAGTGGACCTTTCGTATGATGGATCTACTAGTGCACCAAAGAAGTATCCAAGTGTTGACCATTATATTGCTCTGGTGAGCACAGAACACAGTTTTAACCATATCAAAAATTTACCTCAAGTCTTGATTGACCAACCAAATGTGCTAATGCTGTGTGCAACCAAAAATGTTTCTGTTTGATCCTAGAAGAAAATTCAGTGGTGGTCAAGACAATAGCATGGTGGAGTGCTGATCCTCAGCAGCAACATCACAGGCATTTTAATGACATTGGGTAGACTTTCTGAGTTTGGTGGTATTCACTGTCTTACACTGATAAATGTACACTGACAAGGTGAAGGGAGAGAAGATGTACTGCATTATATAAATTGCCATCTGTGTCATCTTTTCATGTGTCATTGTGTGCCTCCAAAAGTATTTTCAGTGTCATCACCAGGTGCTGGTGAAGTGTTGGAAATGCTGGTGAGTTTGAGTTGTTCTCTTCTAGACCTTTAGCATGCACAGCTACAATACACATTTGGTGTCACACGAGGAGTTAACTGATCTTAGTAGTGGTCTCTTCAGGTTTTTTACTGCATGAAAAACAGACTTTAGGGAAAAGAACAGAGCAGTGGTTCTAAGCTGCTGCACATCCCCAGATCTGACTCTCCCTCCCGCTCTAGCTGCCAATGCGCTGTTCTCACAAGGCTCACCAACACAGTTATGAATGTCAGACTGTTTCTCCTCAGAGAATATACTTCCCCATGGAGGAGCTGAAGAAGAAAATGTCTCTGTGTCTCTGCCTCCAGCCCTCAAAATTCAGAGTGTGATTCCATGTCCTGTCTTTCATTTCTCAGAAAAAAAATCTCTCTGCTTTCATAGCTGCCCTTGATAAAGCAAAGCTTTCCCACTCCGTTTTTCAGAGATTTTGTCTCTTTCTGTGAACCTGAAATCCACCATGGGGATTCCAGTTCCCCCCCCAGCAGCTGTTATTCCAAGAGAGCTTAGAAATTTGTCAGAGGATCTGAAAAACATAGCAGCCGTAGGAATTCACACCAGAAATAGATGCTGTCTGAACAGCTTTGCTTTCTCTAGACACTGCAGTGAAAACACTGACAGGCAATTGGGGAAGAATTCATTCAGGAGGTTCCTCTGCTTCCCCCACTTTAAACATTGCTCTAGGTTTAAGGAAGAGAACTGCAATTAACCATTCTCAGAGTGGATTTACAGCACAGCCACGCACTGAGAACTCACTTCTGCAGATATGGACAAATTGGCTCTGACTCCTGCCCTTACTGCAGTAGCACTGCAGCCAACAGAACTATGCGTGTAAATGTTGAGACATCAGGCAGACCTCCTGTATTAGGTATCCTGATTTTTTTAGTGGGGGCCAAGCTTCTAAAGAAACACATGGCAAAACTGAAGGAAAATTTATCTTGCCAAGCCTCCAGTTATGCTATTTGTAAAAATCTTGATACGAACAAGCAAAAGGAATTTGCTTGAACTCCCTGGAATTCATACCTCTTATTCCTGTAATCGTCAAATTGTTCCAGCTCTGTATCTGGGAACGTGGTTCTGCTGAGGGCTCAGATACAGAGCCGGTAAATTTGCTCCCTTGTTTAGAGAACATCTTTTGTGGTTGTGTCTTCCAGCAGCCACATTGCAAACCCCATTCCTCCAAAATACTCTGGATTAGATTATTTGCTTAGGTAACTTGGCAGAGCACCATGCCATTGTTGGATATTTGATGTGAACAGAGGGTAAGCACATCTGGGTCCTTTATTTCCCCAGGTTAAAAAAGAAAAAAGCCCTCTTAACAGTTCATTGTTGTAAAACCTCAGAGTCTGTGGGCCGTTTTTGGCTGCAGCTTCCATAATGATGGAAAACTGTACTCAGCTGCAGAAGTGTGAGAACTGAGTCCTTCATAAATATTCTTGAATATTCCTTTCTGTAGATTTGACCATCGGTAAATTTTTCCCTCGTACAGATTTTGATCCAGTAGTCCCTATAGTTCTGTTATAATTTGAGTCATATGCTGCTTTCCTAATTTTTTGTCTAGTCATTTTAAATATTTTTGTATGGTATTCAGACAACAACAGCGAATCTTGTAGCTATTATTATCTTTGCAATTTCCCCTGAGTGTTAGTGAAGTCTACATAATGCAGAGCCCATCCACTACTTCAAAGTTATTGCATTCCAAAGCTATTAAAATGAGAGGCTTTTATTTGGGATGTCTTTTAATTTAACAGTGAGGATGAAGCTTATTTCTCAGCATTTTTGCAAGGTAAAAATAAATCTAGAAGACACACACAGATGCCGTGCTTGAAAAATAGCAGCATTCTGGTAATATGCTTGGGTAGAGTTGATCATTTATAGGGGTATTTTACATGCAGCATCTCCGTTCTGGAGAGTTAAGCAATTTCCATGACTGAAATTATTTGAAATCTTGTGTTCTGTAAGGCCAAGGACAAATATTCAAAAAACAAGGACTAAATTAAGACTGAAAAGCTAAGGTTCACAAAATGGCTCTTTGCTGTCTCATTTTGGGCAATTAAGTTAAAAAATTCTGAAGATGCCTCATGTGAGTGCTAAGTAAGTGAATTTCAGAAAGTGCATATAGAGAACTAGACCCATTAAGATCTCTTAGTGTCTTTAATTATTTACTTAATTCACTTAGAATGAGGATTTCAGTGCTTGACTTTAAGATATCACCATCTTAAATTCCTGCCCTCATCCTTCTGCAGTGATAGTATGTTTAATGCCACGTTAATCTGTGGCATTTTTGTCACGTGAAAATCTCAAATACTTGCTTTACTTCACTTCATACCTTCTTAGCACTTCTAAAAAGACTGTCAACCAAGTCTAAATCACTGAAGGCTTCCTATTCCATAGGATACACAGCTATGATGTATGCATTAGGATATTTGGGTAGTCACTGAGGTAGTCCCACCAGGTTACAGAGAAGCAGATAAGCACTGTACTTTTTTATTCATGGCACATTTTTATTCACATAATAATTATTAAGTAAACTGAGGAGGAAATCTGGTGCAGGCAACAAGACAACATCAAGACTGTATACAATATATGCTACAAGACAAAGAACATTTATTTCCTACCAAATTCTGCCAGTATTCAGTCTTCCAGCTTGATCTTGTAAGCAGCTTCTTTCAAGATTTAGAAAAGGAAGTTCTGAAGTAGGAAGCTCTAAAATGGCTTTTTTTTTTTTTTTTTACTATCATTTAAGCAAACAGAGATCACAGACTTCACTGCTTTCCCTTTCAGATGCAGGGCAGCCTACTTTCATTCTCCCATACTCTTGCTATTGACACAAAAGAAGGGAAAAACTCAGAATTCCTGTCTAATGAGAGATACTTGTCCCAGTCCAATAAACACACCACCGGTATAAAGAGGCAGGTCGGGATTCTCCCCACATTGCAGAATGCTGATGCTCTTCCGAAGACTTCTGCTTCCAGTCACTGTTAATTGGTTCCTATCACTTCCAGCACTGCACATACTGCTAGCTGCTGCCACATGGCCATTCCTGTTGAGCCTGCAGAAAACTCACCATTTTTTTGCTGACAGCATAACCCATAAGACTGCAGTGTCATGCAAGCAATTTCTCAGGTTCTTTTGTTTCAACTTTTTTTGCTCTGTTTTCTTAGAATCATTGAAAAGTTCTTACTCTTCCCTGCTTCTTTGCATTTTACAGAAGGTGCAGTCAACTGAAGTCATTCATCTATTTCACCTCCAACCTGTTCTCAGCGGCTATCTCATCAGCTCCACATTCCACAGCAGCCTTGCCTTTCATCTTACTCATTCTTTGGTGTGGCTGTTTGACGACTGGAGCAAGAACTACTTGTTCATGTATGGACTCCTTAATCACCAAGCGTCTAGAGCAGAAATTCTAGTGTTTTGCCTTTAATAATACCCAGTGACCTTGCACTGGGTATTGCGGCATTTCATCTTGTTCCTACTCATCTACTAAAAGCTCATTAGTTCTTCTCTTGTAACAATCAGATCCTTTTCCATTTTGCTTCTCAAATTTGTCATCCTCAAACTGTTTGATTCTTCCATGTGTGTAAAAAAGAGACTAAAATAGTACAACATTTTAGGGTGAGATCATGTGCCTTCCTACCAGCTGTGGCTCCTGTGCCATAAACTCATCACAGCTACCTCCAGCACCCAGGGCTTTGCATTTTAGCATGCTCATCCTCTGAAACATTGGAAGCAGTTTGTGTATCCTCCTCTCCTTTCTGATGTGAAATTCTCAGCTGTGCATAGCTAGAGCAGAGCCAGGTGAATGGCTGTCTTACTCTGTCCGACAGATGATATGCCACAGGCACACAGTGCCAACCCACTTTTTGTAAGGAGCTCAGTAGGAATTGGCAGACCTCCAAGTCCTTCCTCAGTTAAGTTTTTCAAAATCAAGTAAATTTCATAGATCTCCAGTGCTCTTTTTTCTCTTTGTGTGATCATTATTCTCGCTGTTACTCTTGGTGGCAACATACCTTCAGGGAACCAATACCCTGCCGTATCCTGGTTCTCTGTAATACTGTTTTTTTCATCCTCCTTAACCCCTCTGCCAGTTTTTGCATAGCCAACATTCTTTAACAGAAGATGAATCAAGGAGATTCACAACTTCAGATTCTAAATATATGAAAGTCAGCAGAGGTCACTGTGAAGAGCAGAAACTCTTCTTAAATATAAATAGAGTACACAAAAGCTGGCAGTACCTTTTGGAATTAAAAATCTCCACAGCACAAATGCAATTAATGTGATCATGAAGTAAAAGCTACATTAACATCTGAAAACAAAATAAGATCTGTGTCACAGACATTGCTAACTAATAGGAGAGAGGTTTGGGGAACTGAGACTCAGAGAAGATTGTCAGCAATATGGAAAGATTGCTTGTTTGTTTGCTTTTGAAAAAGCTTTGATTGAGATTCTTCTGATGTGAGAACCTTGACTTGGAAGCCTTCCAAGCACAGACATCACTCAGAATTCTGCAGAAATTCTGTGGATGTAGAACTTGCAGGATTACATCAGGTACACAGCACACCTGCACATAAACAACTGCATCTGCTTCTCTAGCAGTGATTTGGAGATCTGTAGGCAGAACTGTAGGCTAAGTCATAGAAAAATCTAAAAAGAAGACACTTTCCTCTTGACTGAAGTTCTGGGCTCAGGTTCTAGCCTTCGTTTCAGCTTAAATGCACTCTTACATATAGAACATGCAAAGACAACAATATCCTCTTTATCCTATAGCTGTGATGCTCTTGACCACAGAGCGTCACAAAATCATCAGACATTTTTCAGGCTGCCCATTGGCAGTTCTGCTCTTTACTCTTCAAATACACTTTGTAGGTATCTTCTCTGAAATTCACATTGGGCAAATATTAAAAAAATGGATTGTACCTTAGGTTACTGGGATTTGTTTTCTGTGGGTTTTTGTTTTTTCAGCAAGAGCACAGAATCTATAGGAGAAAAAGCTGCAAATTACAGCTCAGCAAGAGCACAGAATCTAAAGGAGAAAAAGCTGCAAATTACAGCTGACAGGTTCAATGCTCTTATAACTATTTTAATAAAAGATGTTGTGATTTCGAGTAGATAACAGTCTTGTAAAAACAGCTTAGGTGAACTGAGAAAATAATGGTAACAGTTTTGCAAAACTTTACTTGCAATTTAAAATAATTTGGGCGATGGGGAAAATGTGTCTGACTCTGAAGACTACAAAGTGTTCCAAACTACATTAAATTCACAATTGCAGAATCTCTGCTTTTGTGCAATACAGTGGCAGTAATTTCTACTTTAATAGCTGGCAAGGGCAGATTAACATCAAGTATGGAGAAACCAGGCAAAACACCTTTTGCAAGTAAATCCTGCAATTTTTCTCGTTTGCCAGAAAAAAATATGTAGTTTAGAATATACACTTAGCTTGCATTCACAGGCTTAACACATAATATTATTACCAGAATGATAACAGGGTAGTATATTTTACAGTATCGAAGTTTTAACTCTGAGACTCTTTGGAGAAGGCAGGCAGAGGACTTTAACGACATATTAAAGGAGTCAGGAAAGAAACTAGTAGCAATGTACAGCACAAAGAGTGGCACTCTTGTCCTTTGACCAAAGACTTGATCACCTGAAACAAGCTGCGTCACTTCTGTTTGTACATGACCTATAATTACAGCACTTTTTATTTTATGCTATTTCGATAGAAAGCTTGGCATAAAAAAAAAAAAAAAAACATCCTGTCACATTAAATAGTCACCAAATTCCTAAAGCCTACCTGAAAAGCCATCTCAAATTGACTGTCAGCAACCCACAGCTACCTTTCAAAAGTAGTATTGCTGATCATTTGTCCTCCTCTATCCTCACCTTCTAATGATTTTATCTAGGATGTACTTGTTCAGTTACTTACAAGTATCAACAGGGAACATAGTAATATTTACTGCTTCATCTGTATCTAGTAGGCAATATGTAGAAGAAGCACATTAGTTTGGTTTGGTATCACATGTTGTTGATAGAGGCATGTCAGCAAGTTTTTATCGCCTTTCATTTAGAAACTGGTAATTTTTTTCTGAAATCCAGGAAGTTAGGCTACCTAATTAAAATTACTTGGGTACTCTTCCATCTATTTTTCTAAGAGTTATTTATTCAGTCTTCTGCTGTCTCTTCTATCCTCCATGAGTTTTCAAAGCCATGTGAAATACCTGGAAACAGTTCAGAGTTTACTTAGGCTAGTTCCTGAATCACTTCAGTAGTCTCTTCAAAATATAAGTTACAAGAAAGTAGAATCATTAAAGTTACAGCTGAGAAAATTAAAAAATTAAATGTAAGTTGAATATCAGCAGATAGATGAGCAGTAGCAGGATACAGACATAGACATCCTCGGATGCTAAATGTAGACCCCACAAGATCAACAGAGCAGAACTTTTGTCTTTAAAAAAGTAATTGATGATCAACTGAAAACCATCCAAATAATGCAATAATATTTGCAGAAAATATTTTAAAAATAGCTTTTGTCTTCAAGAGTTATTTGCAGCTCTGTCATCAAGCCTTCACAGATGATATAATACTTGGTTCTCGTTGAGGTACCTCAATCCTTTCAAGCAGTCTCCTGTTTCTGAAGAAGAAAATAGACTGCACAGGCAATTTCAATCCCACTTAATATGTAATAATTGCTAACCTATAGTTTATTCAATATAATACTTCAATAATTCAAACTTGCTTTCCACTTGCTTCCTCTACTCAGGTTTGATAGAAGTACTTGGCTCTTTTGGGTGCCAGGATGTTATCACGTGTCATGGACAGCTGTTCTGAGTAAATCTGGGGTAAGATCACACCTTAGACAGTCCTTGGTTTCCAGCAGTTGGTCTGCAGGCTCTGCTGGTCCTCAGTCCTCCACTATTGCCACAGCCACTGGACCTTCTCATTGCTTATCAAGTGGGATGCTCCAGGCAGACCTCAGGTCCTCTGAGTCAATACAGCTGTCTCTTTTGCTGCTGTGGAGAACAATAAACAATAAACTCCCCCTTCATACTCACCACCTGCCACTCAACTAAGCTTACGAGCAGCTGATAGCATGGTAAGAAGCCTCAATAAGTACACAGGTTGTTCCAAAAGTAATACCTCCTATTTATTTCCATGGAAACAACAAGAGATACAAAGAACACAATAATACTATTTGATGATCAAATTCTCAAACATATTTCTCAACATAGTCACCATCATCAGCAGATTCATGTGGATGAGCTGATCAAGATGCTCTTCATTTCATGGGTTGGCATCTGTGCGGGCAGCTTGGAACATGGTTTGTCTTTCACGTCACTGTTGCTACTGCTGAAATGCACCACCCACCACCTCACTGTGCTCACATCTACTGTTCGGTCTCCATAAATGTTCAGCAAGTGCCAATGAATGTCAATGGATGCAATTTTTTCTGTCTTAAGGAATTTAATTCCACACCTTTGCTTCATATGCACTTCCACGTCAGATGTTGTTCTGTCAGACTGGCCCTCTGCTGCCATCTGTCACACAGCAACAAAATATGATGGAATATTGGTGGAAGGTTCAACCTCTGCTGCCATACCACCACCATCTGCTTCTGACATCACAAACATAATAAAAGAGGAGGCATTACTTTTGGGGCAGCCCTTGTATTTTCAGCCACCACAGGCAAGCAGCCTCTGTCACACCAGCCAATTTGCCTTTGTGTTACAGCTGATTTGCTATGGATCCTGACTAACGTTCTATGGGTACATCTTTTGTGTTACATAGAGGCACGGAGAGGGCTCATGGATCAGAACCAGCATCATACAGTCCCTGGCTGTGCTACGGACTGCTAAAACTAAATTTCTCCATTCCAGATCAGACAGACAGAAGCTATACCCAAGCCACATAAACATGAGACCTTAAACACTATGAACGCTATATCAATATGAGATCACCCCAAGTATTATGAACATGAGCCAATCTGTGTATCTCGGCATCCTGCTGCTGGAACAATTTGCCTCCTTGCACACAAGCAATTCGGATGCTGTTCCAGGCAGGGTCTAGTAGCAGACTAGAAGTCCGTGCTGAGTGCACTCAGGTGTTCTCCTGACAATGGCTAACTCCTGTCTGAATGGAGCCAGGTGGGGGCCGTTTTCCAAATAGCAGCTTGATGCACAGCTTCTGCAGGATTTTTATTACTATTATTCCTTTGTGAGTGGCCGTGCAGACCCTTTTGATGTAGTGGCAGATGAAGGACCTCTTTACTAGCAAATATACAAAGACTGCTATGATATTTATACAAGTAGTGTAGATGTTTTTCTACTCCATAATTGCCAAAGGCAGATATCAGTGGAAACAGAGCAATGCTGCCAAGTACAGTGAACTTTGGATTAGGACTTCCACGTTTTTATGAAAGGATCTCAGAACCTTTTATAGTGAAGGACTGTGTCTAACACACATGTACCTGTGCTCCTAGCTTCAATCAGATTCTATACTTTTAGCTACTACAATACCAAAGACAAATATTTCGAAAATAATCCTTCTTTCCCTTATACAAAAACATTTGCAATCAAATATCATAAATGGTATTCTGAGCAAGGGAAGTAAACACTATTTGAAATAATGGCAATGTGTTACAGAAAACAGTAATTTAAAATTTTATAATTCCTTTCTTTTTCAAAGAAATAATTATATACACTTTACCATCACCAGCAGTATTAAAGATGTTACAATTTAAGACAATTTTAATTAATAAATCATAGTGCTGGTACAAAGTGTTGCTAATATTAGCCTTAAGCAGTAGTCTGGGAAAAACAAGAAGGTATATGATGCTTCTTTAACATTGTTGGAAAACATGTATTTTTAAAATATTTTATAGGTTAAAATACTGATAATTCTCTATTTGTTTCTTTAGTAACGCTGTGAAGTAATGTCTTTGCCATTCTTTTGAACTACATAACAATAATTATTTAAAATTATATCAGTCAAATTGCACTTAAAAATACAAGACTGAGTCCCTAATAAATCTTTCTGGTTTTTGAAGTAAGCCAGATAAAATTAACTTTGCTAATCTTGACTTGTTTTATTGTACCCTCTCCCTCTCTTCTTATGTACAGAATCCATACAACAGAAAGTGTTAGGCAACCTTAACTGTAGTTATTGCTACAACTCTTCCCATAAAACTTAAGGTAAAATACGGGTATAATTAAACTGAGGGGAGTGCTCACACTGATTTCAGAGAATGAAAGAGAAAATAAGTGTTTTCTGAAATACAGTAATGTCTCCACAATAAAAATTTGTATTTACATGGAGAGCACTGGTAATAATATTTCAGGAAATCCAATAATTAAAGTATTATATGAAAAAAGCATAGATAAATGTCTCTAAAAATGTGGCTATGAATATAAAGATACATGTAAGAAGTCTATATTTGATTATTGCAATTATACGTGGGTTTATCTTTTTTAATCCATGCTAGGAATGCTATCAAAATTGTTTGAAAGGAAAGAAAAAATGAAGTACAATTCACTCATCTGGAACCACAAGGAAAATACTAACCACTAAAGCACACAGTGTAATTCCATTACTTACAGTGTTTTCAAGGGACTGTGAGACTTCTATTACTGTTGCAACAGTACCGTGGGATCTTATCACTGAAAGATATAAGAGCAGCCGAAGCACAGATCTCACCTAATAGTGAGCAAGTGCCTACTCATCAGTGACTCATGTATACAATCTATTTTATGCAAAAGCAACCTTGCTTCAAACCACAAAACTACAAAATGTGCAAAGTTAGGCACGTACCTTTTCACCAGCCTAAGCTGCAGAGTCACAGTACTTGCACCAAGATATGCACATTGCTTTACAAAGAACATTAGTTTTGACCTGCTCTGGTTTTATTCACATAAAAGCATTATTTCAGCAGCCTACATACCATTTCTTTAATGAATCAAATCTTTATCAGGAAAAGGTAACTACTAACTTAGAAACTGTATTTTAACATCTTTCCGGTGTTGTCTCTAATGTCTTCACACGTCAGAATACTTTTTTCAACATTTAAGAAATCACAGAATCAGAAGGGATCTCAAGAGATCATCAAGTCCAACCCCCTGCTGAAGCAGCTTCCCTACAGTAGGTCACACAGGTGGTGTCTAGATAGGTCTTGAATAGCTCCCTAGGAGACTGCATATCTAGGGCCTGTTCCATTGCTCCATCCCCCTTACCTTAAAGAAGTTCTGCATGTTAGTATGGAACTTCCTATGTACCAGTTTTAGGCCCTGACTCCTTGTCCTATCCCTACATACCACTGAGAAGAGCCTGGACTCATACATTTGCCTCTCACCTCCATTCAGATATTTATAAACATGTATCAGATTTCCCTTCAGTCTTCTTTTTCCCAGGCTAAACAGAGTTGAGTTACTCAGCCTTTCCTCATATGGGGGATGCTCCAGGCCCTTTATCATCTTTGTGGCCTTCTGCTGGGCTCCTTCTAGGAAATATCTGTTCTTTCAACTGGACACAGTAGCCTAAACGTGGCCTCACCAGGGCAGAGCAGAGAGGGAGGATGATCTCTCTCGACCTGCTGGCCACACTCTTTATCAACTTGTTTTTCTTCTGATTTTCAATTAGACTCAAAAAGTAGTTCTGAAGTCTGAGGGAACTCATTACATACAGCAGCATTATGAGAGGTATTTGGGGACATATCAAATTAATGCATCTTCAGAATTTCACATAAATCTTCATTCTTTTCACTTCAAATGGACTCTATCATGATAAGCTTTTGAGTATCTTTAGTGAGTTGAAAATATTTGAAGACACACAATATTTACATCCTAGCTCCTAAATGCAATGATTGCTGTAAATTCTTTTTTATGAGCTGAATGGTATTATCTAGCCACAAAATTGCATTTGTTCTCATCCTTACTGGTGCATGAATGTTGACTGTCTGGTAGTGAGGTCAATTTCTATCATCTCCAAATCCTGTAAAATAACTGGACTTTCTGTTAACAAACAGCACAATGTCATCCTTGGCCTTCTTCACCACAGGAGGATATTTCAGCTTCCTTGAAACTGATATCAACTTACTCTTTATTTGCTTTGGAAGGGGAGTGGTTAGGCATGATGGAGTAATAGTCTCTCTAGTGTACATTAGAAATCCTTTAAATCTCCTCCCAGCCTTCAGAATAAACAACTTTGGTACAGAGCCTTAGAGACTCTGGGTAGAGATGAAGATATCAGCTGGCCAACTTTTAAGATGGTCTAATTTCACCTTCCAGTTTTCAAGGTGTGCAAGGACTATTTTATTGCTTTCAACAAAATGTGTCTTCATTGTCATCCCCATCTGATTTTGAGTGTTTTCCTTGTCGTCAATGGGAGACAAATTGCTCTCACTTCTGTTACAATGAAATATAAGTGATATTCTTAACTGGACTGATGCTATTTTGAAGGCCTGGGATTGTGAGAACTTTTGTTTCAAGGCTTCTGTCTGACTTTGGACAGAATTTAATTCACGCTCCAGTTCTTCACTCACAAAATAAAGCTGTGATATTTCCCATCTTTCAGTCTTGCTTGTTCAATTCCTCCAGGAAAGAACTACCCATCTATCATTAGTACAGTGCCTAGCCTACTAAAATCTTACTTTTGTTTGGCACTTGCTGTCAAATAGCATACATAGTAAATAAATCAGACATCCCCATGCCTTTGCTCCCCCACTATAAAGGGGGGCTTCTCAGCCCTCCCTCCATTCAGAAATCACTGGTCCCTCCCTGAGCCCTTCTACACACCATTTTAAGTCTCCACAGACAAACTGGCAAGATGGGTGGCCCTCAGACTGGATGATTGAATCCATCTCTCAACTCTTATTCTATCTAAAGTAGTAAGAAAGGGCTTGAATTAACAGGAGTTAATTTAAGCCGTTACAAGAGTCAATGAATGCTGGCGTTAAGCCCAATGCTCTTGAGGGGATTGGAGTTCTAACAGAGACTGAATCCATGCTGGAACCTGGCCTAACACTCTTAAAAAACACTGATACGTGGAGGTGGATGTTCAGGGATGTGAAGCTGCAGGTTTACTTCCTATTTTAACATTTCACTTTGTAATAAAATCATAGAAGAAAATGAAGTTTATGTCAGAAATTATTTCCTAAGTATCAGAGGATTCCCATGGGCTTTGTTTCATGATAGTATGTGTTCATTTTGTGATGTGATTACACATTATGCTCATTATGCCTAATAAGCAATAACTGCATTTAAGTATTGCTCTATTACAATTCAGTGGAGCATTGAATCTTGCAGGAAAATTACATACTTAAGCATTTAAGAAAATCTTTAATTAGGCTTTTCGTTTTCTTTTGAAATTTTCATCAGTGCAAATATCTCTAGAAGAAAGTCTGAAGCCAACATGTAGAAAATACTTGTTAAAAAAACAGGTAAAGCTTGCTAAACATTATGATTTGGGCCCCTCACTGCAAGAAAGATATTGAGGCCCTGGAACGTGTTCAGAGGAGGGCAACAAAGCTGGTGAGGGGTCTGGAACACAGGCCATATGAGGAGAGGCTGAAGGAGCTGGGAATGTTCAGCCTGGAGAAGAGGAGGCTCAGGGGAGACCTCATTGCTCTCTATAACTTCCTGAAGGGAGGCTGTAGTGAGCTGGGGGTCGGCCTCTTCTCTCGTGTCATTAGTGATAGGACCAGGGGGAATGGCTTCAAGCTACGGCAGGGGAGATTCAGGCTGGACATGAGGAAGTATTACTTTTCAGAAAGGGTGGTCAGGCACTGGAATGGATGCCCAGGGAGGTGGTGGAGTCACCGAGCCTGGGGGTGTTCAAGGAAAGACTGGATGTTGTGTTGAGGGACATGGTTTAGTGGGAGCTATTGGGAATAGATGAACGGTTGGACTGGGTGATCTTTTAGGTCTTTTCCAACCTTGGTGATTCTATGATTCTATGATTGCTGCTTGTGAAGGTCAAGGAAGAGAAAACTGTGCAGGGTGGGAAAGACAGCCTCTGAAATAAAATTTAAGCGCTGCAGATCATAGTAGTTGATGACGTTTGTCACCTCTGTTGTGTTTACCAGATTGTCAGTGTCATTTTTCTGGATCTTCGCTTTCTGACACAAACCACCCTATACTGATACTGCACCAGGTGAAATAGGACTACCTCTTCATAGCCTTTCTGACTACTTAGGCATACATTCTAGCACCCAGAATATAGGAGTCTGGTTACTGCAACATGATTGTGGGCCTTGTAAGCACAGCAGTAGCTGAGCACTCCTCTGAGATGCTACACACAGGGTAGCTAAGGACATCTCACCTCCCCACCAGCATTGCGTGCTTACAGCCATTGGGGAGTAGCTCGCCTTTCACTCAGCAGCTGTGTCTGTTCCAGTCAAGAATGTCATCCAAGGAAAGGCAAATGACCTACTTAGTCGTTCTTACTCAAAGAAAAACTGAAGATGCCTGGCAGGGTGCTGAATTCACCCCATTTACCTATGCTGCAGTCGTATGTTCAACATAATGGGATCTGGCATTCTGAATTCAAACCCCTCAGCTATCTTTTACAATGCTTCTGGGATGTTGCCAGCATCCATGAGGTGCATATTATTGCTAGACACAGAAAGGGAAGTACTCATAATGTGTTTGTGCAAATACTCTGTCAAGTAATAAGGCTGGGACAGAAAATATTTTGTCTGTCTGGAGAGAAGTTAAAACAAGGAACAGGAATTTGCTGTAAGTTTTACTGCTCTGCAGCAGAAGTGGGATTTTTCAGTATGTGTTTTATGCATGACAGGGATTTTGCTGCTATGTTTTACAGTATCTGGGGATTATAGAGGATTTCTTGTATGAGTTACTTTCTGTGTCTCTGAGGATAAAAAAAAGATTTTGCAATGTATATTACGGTCCACGGAAATGGAAACCATTCACCCTGCATGTTGCACTCTTGGGTGATTTTGCAATGAGCAGTCATTTATATTCCCCAGAGAAGGTGTTTTTGAAGAGTCTGTGTGCTGCTAAGGATTCAGGTGGCACATTCCTGAAGATGTCCCAGACACGTTGCTGAATGACATTCAATGGACAACACATACTAATGGAAGTCTGGATAAATTCTGAGATGCCACTATTCAGATGTCTGAAATTACCACATACAAAACTGAATTCATGTCTCTAAGTTCAGAGTGGTGAAGGACAGCAAACTAAAAGTCCTTTACTTGCACAGAGTAATCACCATTTGTCAGTAGATAGAAGGCAAAAAGGCATTTCCATGTTTTCATGTCTCTAATACTTGCACCTCATTCAAAGAGGTGAATGGCACAGCTTACTACAACAGACAGAATGCGCTTTTTTTAACCAAAGTAATGGGAAACTGCCAAATGCCTTAAATTTAGAATGACCCTGAGCAATTCTCTCCAGCTTTTTCCACTCTCACATTTGCCAGGTAAATACTCCAAAAGCTTGAATCATAGCATTACAAACCTACAAATGGTGTCTGGTTTCCCATGTGACCATATCACCAGTTCCCAGATGGCCCAATCATGGAATATGAATCATAGAATCACAGAACCTTTAGAGTTGGAAAAGACCACCAAGATCATCTAGTCCAACCATCAATCCACTACCATCATGACCACTAATCATGTCCTTAAGAGCCACATTTCCAGAATCTCCACAAACGGTAACTCCAGCACCTCCTCCTGCAGCCTGTCCCAATGCCTCACCACTCATTCTGAAAATAAATTTTTGATTGATAAAAATGTATCAATATACATATGGCAAGCAATTGTATTGAAAAATGTGTTTTGCTATTGGGAAAAAGGGATTAAAGCACTATTTAGGACTAAGTAGAAAAGGACAGGCCTCTGCTGGAAAAAAAAAAAAAAAAAAAAAGTAATACAAAATATTTAGAATCACTAAGGTTGGAAAAGATTTTCCGGAACATCTAGTCCAGCCATCCATTTACCACCAATATTTCCCCAGTAACTATGTCCCTCAGAGACACATCTCCACGTTTCTTGAACGCCTGCAGGGATGGTGACTCCACCACCTCCCAGGACAGCCTGTTCCAGCGCCTGACAATTCTTACAGAGAACTTTTTCGTAACATCCAACCTGAACCTCCCCTCAACTTCAGGCTGACCCCCACCTCACCACAGCCTCCTTTCAGGCAGTTGCAGAGAGCGATAAGGTCACCTCTGACTCCCCTCTTCTCCTCATTGAGCAATCACAGTTCCCTCAGCCGCTCCTCATAAGACTGACAACTCACTAATAGCAAATACCAAGCTCAATCCAGCCAAGGCTTAGAGCATTTCAGTAGAACAGAAGTGGCAGTGGACCAAAGCACATGTTGAAAAACCCAGGGTGAGGAGCTGTCTCTGACATAAGTGACGGCAGGGGTCAGCTCCACCTGTCACACTCTTCAGCAGCCACATCTGCCATGACACTTTGTATAAGCAACATCTCCTGTCGTCTGTATCTCATGAGAAGCTCTACTCCACGAGGATGTTTCAGACCCACTCACGTTCCAGCTGCCATTCACCTGGCACACGCGCAGCGCAAAGTACGCCTACACGACATTCCCAACACTCAGAAAACCCCACAGCACCGAGTCAATGCTGCAGCACTGACACAGCCCTGACTTAACCATCCCCGCCCGCTGAGCTTCCCACAGTGTCATGGAATCGCCGAAGTTGGAAAAGACCTCTAAGACCATTAAGTCCAGCCACAGCTCAACTCCTGCCCCCACCATCCCTTCCACTGCCGGGAAACCGCCGAGCGGGCAAGTCCCAGCTCCCGTTTTCAGCGAGCGGCCTCCGATGTCCTGTGCACCTCCTCCTCCGTTACCATTCCGCACGCCCCGCGGGCAGCTCCCGTCCCGCCGGGCGCACCGGGGCCACGGATCCCCGCTCGCCCCATCCGCCCCGCTCGCCGCGCATGCGCTCCATGTCAGCGGTTTCCGGGAAGATGGCGGCGTGGAGAGCTGCGCTGGTGGTGGGCACCCGAGCTCCGCTGAGGGGACGGCTGCTCGGGCCGCGGCCCGCCCGGAGTCAGCGACGCCCGCCCGGCTGGAGGATGGCCGCTGCCGCCGCCCTGCTCGGGGGAGGCTCGGTGGCGGCGTGCTGCGGCGGCTGGGGACCGCCGGGGGCGGGCGCGTTCCTCACCGTTCTGGCTCAGGTGAGCGGCCGCTCCGAGAGCCGGCGGGGTGCCGGGCCTCGCGCATCGCGGGCGCCTCAGGAAGGCGACGGGGCTCGGGGGGGCCGTGCTGCGCGCGGGGGGCGGGGCGGGGCGGCGGCCCTGGGGGCTGCGGCTGTTGGGTCGGGCAGGGGATGCGGGTGGCGGGACGGGCCGGTGGTATTTCGCTCGAGCTGTTCTCGGCCCCTCTTCGTTAATGAGCGCTTGGCCCCTTTCTGCAGTGGATTTTCGTCTAAGCGCTGCTCGGGTGCCTGGCCGCCCCGGCGGCAGCGAGCTGGGCGTGAGTTCTCGTAGTGTGTGCGAGGTGTGGGCTGTGCTGAGCTGTCCTGTGTGCTGGAGGCGGCTCCTTTCACAGAATCGCAGAATTGTAGGGGATGGAAGGGACCTCCAGCGCATGTCGCCGTGCCCGGCCTCGCTTCGGGCGCTGTGACACGGTGGGATACCTCTCTTCCCCTTAACAAAGAATAGTTCCATCTTTTATGTTTCATCTGAATTGCGTGACTTGCAGTGGGTAGGATGGCACCTGGATGGTTTGCTCAATACCTGGCGCTGAACATTGGGATGAACCTTGCCTTGGAGTGTCAGTACCATTCAGATTGGGCTCCTGAACTATTTGCACCATTTCCAAAGTAATCACCACAAGTTCCAAAACACAGTGATGCTTTTCCCCTGCTGTTGCTCTTTTTGTGTAGGTAGTGAACTTTTACCCCACCCTTCTTCCAGAGAGGAAATCTAGTTTTAGGTGGGGTGAAGGAGATTAGCGTGCACGTGTGTTGCCATTTGCTTCTGTCCAGAGGACTGAGGAAGCATTCAATGGTTTCTATGCTTGGAAGTTGTGTCTCAACCACTGAACAGGCAGAACTGCAGACAGATGAATTGCAACTTGAAGTATTCTTAAGTCAAGAACAAGAAGTGATTTGCTTTTTGATATTGAAATCTTAATTGTGGAGATATTCTAAGCTGTTTCTTTGTAGAAAACTCGTGTGTGTGTGCGTTTCTGAAACAGACTGTGTTAGTCCTGAGTCCTTGAACAGCACGTGTTAAAAAGTTGGTTTTCTGGATGCAGCTCCCCATGAGAAAGGCATCCACTGTTCCCCTATAAATCTTATTGGAAATGCATCTCCTTACTGTATAGAACCAGAAGTATATTTAGCTCAGTGGCAAAGCAACTTTATATTATGTTTAAAAAATCCTATTGTAGAGGCCTATTTCATATATATGGGACTTTTGCTTAAGCAGATCTGTAGATAGGTACATAAAAAATGTGTTAATGCAGTGCATAGGCTCACAGCATGGTTGGGATTGGAAGGGACCCTGCAGTCCATCCAATTCCAACCTCATGCCATGGGTAGGGCTGCCACCCAACAGGTCAGGCTGCCCCATCCAACCTGGTCTTGAACATCTCCAGAGATGAAGGCTGTTGAGTTGAAATGATAAAACTTTGGTGCTCTTGTGTTCTTGGTCTGACTTCCACATAATGCAGTGATATCCTTTCTAATACACTTTCTAATGTTCTGAGGGAACTCTGAAGATCTGCAGCTTCTTGGATTGATTCATTTTTGGAGACAGAAAATTGATGGGCTCTGCAAAATGTTAAGCAGTTTATTCAATTTGAACTTTCTGGTCTTCTGATAAAAAGATTGTAGAATGTCCCATTGTAGCAGCAGACATATGTCTTGTATTTTGTGTTGCTGCAATTAATGCAGTGACCTATTTAAAAGTACTTAGTGTCGCACTGTACCTGATCAGTTCCTAAGGGCAGTGAGCTGAAGGCAGAACAGGCTTGTGAAAGTGGTGAGGACAGCATGACAGAACCAAAGCAGCATGCTGCATTTGTTTGAAGCAGTTCAGATGCTGCTGGTGGCTTCTTGTTCTTCATTTAGTTTACATAGCTGAAATTTGTAGGTGTTTATATTTGCCATTAGTGTTCAACTACTCTCCACCTAGTTAGGACATTTTCAGCTTTATAAGTGATTTATGAAGTTATTTTCATTCTCTGTTTGCTGACCGAATGTTTAAAAAGGCGTAAGGTGTCTGGCGTATGTCCTTACTTATGATGGGGACTCTCTACGTTACAGAAACATTATAGCAAAAGCAATGTACTCTTATTTTTTTTCCCCTCAATCTGTGTAGATAATGGTCTAAGTTTATCTACTTTTCCTATTTATCAGTGAAGCTGATGCAGTCTGTACTGGGGAAATCTGGATCTGTTTTTCTAGCTGAAAGGAACTATCAGTTTTTATGAAGGATCAGGTGGCAGTGATGAGAGCCTTTGTTCTGCCGTGTGACTGAAAATGCTGATTTTTACCTTAGGTGAGTCAAAAGTGTTCATGTTGCACTGTGCACTGCAGTGATGATTCCTAAGTCATTGACAGAATGATGTGTGATTGAGAGCCTTGATCAGACATGCAGTATTGTGTGACTACTTGTCACTTTGGTATCACAAACTGTATGGCCTGCTGTTGGAATCCTTGGGTTAAAACCGGCTGTTATCACCAGTCAGCTTTGCAGTCTCTACTACCTGAGTAGTCTTTGTCATGGTGAAGCATCAAGTACACAGCGCAGGGCGTGCAAGGGAATTTGGGATGGCTCACATCAGGAAACTGCCATCTATGTTGGGAATTTGCCAAGGGACTGTAGCTTTGCTCTCATGCTCACACATGGTACAAATGGCAAGGCAACTCTGAGCAGCACCAAGCTGCCAGAGGCAGCATCTCCTGCCCTTGCTGAGGGTTTTATGGACATGTTTGATTTCTGGTTTGGGAAAGAACAATGCAATTTGATTCACCCTGAAGAAATTGCCATCTCTGTAGCATTTTGTGCTACAATCTGTCACTGTTTCCAAATGAGAGTAAAGTTGTTACCAGTGCTTGTTTGAAATTCTAAGATATTCAGAGTCCTGTCTGTTTGTTGCCCATAGAAGTGATAGTGTTACAACATTCTTTTCCTAGGGCTCAAGGAGCTTTAAGTGGTGGTTAAATATTTGGTATTCCTTTCCTGAGATGAAGTGGAAAGCACAACTTGACCAGGCTCAACCATTCTGTGAACTTAACCAACAGCATTCATCTCTCTGTCTTGGTTACTGGTTTCTGTTAGGTGATTGTAGCCATTGTTTCTCTTCCTTCTTTTGGTGGAGCTGTCTCAGCAGTATGCTATGGCTCTTCCAGATGAGCAGAGACTCAATTCCCATCCTGGTAGTCTTAAACAACACATTAATTGTGTTTGATCATACTGAAAATGTTAAGAGAATTCTATTCTCTGAACAATGGAATATGAACCACTTGTGCCTTTTTTAGTGGCTGATATTTATGAAATTCACATTTTATTTAAAGTGTGTTTATTGAACCAGGAAATAGATTTTATATTTGAAGGAGGGGAGGGAGAAAGGTCCTCTAATCTTTTTTGGAACTGTGTTAAGCTGTATGAAGTGTTTCACCCTTCTCTAGTTTTCTAATGTTAGTAATTGCTGGGAGAAGACATGCATGGCAGTGGTAATTCAGTGCTCTAGAAGAACTCTTATTCTGAACAATTGTAAAATATTTCTGTTGATCAAAACTTCACCTTCAATTCATTCTTGGGCTGTCTGTGTAACCACCACACAACGTTGTTTTGTAACGATTGCCTGACACTTTTAAAAATGAAGAATAACGTAAAAGATTCTCTGAACAGCAGTTTTGTTCTGGGATGATGCTCTTGGTTCTGACACTGCCGTAAAATGGGCCTCTCCACCAATTTGGGAGCAGTAGAGGGTGCCACAGTTCATAGCCTAAACTATGGGAACCAAATATAGCTCACTTTGTCAGGGTTGTACTAGAAGTCCTTTGGGCTTCCAGCCTTGGAAGTTGACAAATGGGTTTGAAAGCTGTAAGATATTCTCTGTGTTTCTTGATCCTTCTTTGAGTCTGCAAAGAACTGACTGCTGAGATGGATCCATTTCAGACAGATTCTGGTACATTGTGTTTGGTTTGCACTTGGGTAAATTTTCCAGTCCAAATCAAGAGGTGATTTACTCACTGATGTTACCTTTTTAGCCTATTTTTGCTCGATGAGTTAATTCAGACATAGATGAGAATACAGCATGGCAGTACTGTCACTGCCCCTCACATGCTTCCAAAAGACTTCAGTTGCATGCATGCAAAAGCTTTTTGTTCAAATTATCTGATGAGATTTTGTTAGAGCAGTGGAAGGAAGAACTACGTTGCTCTCAGCTTTTCATGATTTTTATGTATCCTGTGGGCCACTTTGGCTTAAGCTTCGTTTACACAACTTTTAGTCCACAGTTCTTCACTCACTATATTAATTTGTTTCTAGGAAGGTACAACGTGCATAAAAGCTGCATGGAGAAGGTTTTCGGTATTGACAGATAGGATGTGTATGTGCACCATCTGACTTCAGTCACCAAATAGAAACAAAAAAAAGAAGAGGAATAACATTTATTCATAGGAGCCACTGTTTGGTTGTAATTCATGTGTCAGTGCTTTAAACTGAGAGGCTTGCTGGCACATCTTGCTGAAATGGACTTGCTTTAATGGGGGTTTCTTTGCAATCTGCTTTAAAAGACTGGTTCATGCAAAGGAAGAACGTTGTTGTTAAATGAGGTATCTTGATAAATATAGAACTCTGGATACAGTTGCATAAGGATTTATAGTGATGTATGGAATTGCCAGGAGGAATCTGGTTCTAAAATAAAACCAGAGTGAATGTGTACAGCCTAATCTGAGGAATAGACAAGAAGGCTCTTGTGTTTTGACATAAAATACAAAACCAAATTGCTTGCCTTCATTTGACCAAGAATCCTAGCATAGGTTTTGTGTCCTGAGAACTAATCTAAGTGTTTGTTTTTGAATCTTTATTCTATTAGAAATTAAGAATGCAAGTGCAATAGCACGTATGACAGCTGACTGGCACGCACACAAAATAAAACTAAGCATGTATTAAATAAAAGTATGCAGCATAATACCTTGATAGAATATTCATGGAAA